GATACATTTTTTTATGAGCATGGCCTTATTTCTATTACAGCATATTGGATGACTGTCATTCATATTCCATTCACCCAGCTCAATGTAAGATTGATAGGTTTAGGCTACTACATGATACTCACATTTTCCCTATACCCATCATGAGGTTGCTAGAACCTAGCCTATGAATGAAAGTTTACAATGTAGGTGCACAGGTCAAGAGAAATGTAAGTAATCAAGGTGACAGACATTGACACAATCTTGCCTGCATCTAGCTGATCTAGGTTGTATTCATTAGTCCAACAGTTGCAAACAAGAGTTTCTATTGGACAAATTCAGGAATGTTTATCCTGGTTTCGTTCTGTTTGCTTCCGTTTATCAACAGAATTAACATGAACATTATTAACCATTTAGCAGACGCTCTTATCCAGAGTGACTTACAGGAGCAATTAGGGTTAAGTTCCTTGCTCAAGGGCACATCGACAGATTTTTCACCTATGCAGCTCGGGGTTTAGAACCAGCGACCTTTCGGTTACTGGCACAACGCTCTTAACGACTAAGCTACCTGGCGGTATGAATACGCCCCAGATCACACGCAAACACAGTTCACTTTCATAGCAGCCAGATCGTTGTATAATTCCTTCTCGCATCTACGCGCTCTCCTCCTCTCACCTTTTCCCTTCTATTGTGGACTTCAGTGCACAACACATCACCTTTCCAAGCCAAACCTTCATTTCATAACCGCTAACCACTACACACAGCCTACATCGTTGTCACCATATTAGCTAACGTCAAGGCAACAACATAGCTACTCGAACTAACGCGTTAGTAAACCCGCTATAATATAATAATAATAATAATATGCCATTTAGCAGACGCTTTTATCCAAAGCGACTTACAGTCATGCGTGCATACATTTTTGTGTATGGGTGGTCCCGGGGATCGAACCCACTACCTTGGCGTTACAAGCGCCGTGCTCTACCAGCTGAGCTACAGAGGACCACGTAGGTGGTCATGCAGTACAGTTAGCAAGTACTGCTTGTAACGCCAAGGTAGTACTTGCTTGCTACAATCATGCAGTACAGTTAGCAAGCAGTTTAGCAGTTACACCAGTGGGCCCCAGTGGCAAAAAAACAAAAGCTTACCTTTTGTTCCAGTGTTGGATAGCCATAGCCAGCTAGGTAACATAACATCCCTCTCTGTTTGAGCTGGGTGTTTGAGTAGGCTAAACTAGCTAGCTGCATTTGCTAACTAAGTAAGTGAAAGTAAAAAAAAAAAATATATATATATATATATATATATATAGCTCTCTCTCGATTCTCCTTCATTTTTGAAGAAATTAATTTGTTCAAAACTGTTCAACTATTGTCTTTGTCAACTACTCACCACATTTTATGCACTGCAGTGCTAGCTAACTGTATCTTAATATAGTCATTCTCTGATCCTTTGATTGGGTGGACAATATGTCAGTTCATGCTGCAAGAGCTCTGATAGGTTGGAGGATGTCCTCCGGAAGTTGTCATAGTTACTGTAAGTCCATGGAAGGGGGTGAGAACCACGAGCCTCCTAGGTTTTGTATTGAAGTCAGTGTACCCAGAGGATGGAAACTAGCTGTCCTCCGGCTACACCATGGTGCTACCCTACAGAGTGCTTTTGAGGTTACTGTAGACCTTCATTGCAAAACAGTGTGTTTTAATCAATTATTTCGTGACGTGAATATATTTAGTATAATTGAATCTAAAAATGAAAACTTTTTTATTGTTTCACTATTTTTATGAAATTAGCTGAGGATGGCCCTCCTCTTCCCCCTCTGAAGAGCCTTCACTGACCGGTAAAGTTGTCTGTTTCGTTTAGGGACCGGGGAGAAAATGCAATAACTACAAAACAATGGAAAGATTGGTCCTGTGCGAAATGTCCAAATGTCATCAGTTTGACCGGTTTTAAGGAAATGAAAAGCTGAGAAAATGACGAAAAAAGTTTCTGATAAGACTTAAATTCGTCTTGGGTGCATATTTTATGTGGTTGAAATACTGTCTGCTTGCATAACACATTACACGTACATTTGCATTTTCTCGAGAGATGCTGAAAGAAATAAACCATATTTCTCCACTCCTGTTCCTGAGACAAAATTAATGTGTTTTATAATTTCACTTCAGGAAATGCATAGCCTAATTCTGCAGGAGTTAATATTATATTACACTACATGTGAGAGGTTATAGGCCTACAGTCAGTGTCCATATTTCAGTTACTATTCCATTTAACCCATACTTAAATTAGGAATATTCTGTTAATTCATGGATACAGGAATACTAATGAGCGGGATATCAAAGGTGCATGTAAACGGCTTATCCCAAATAAGCCCTTAAGTGGGATATGAGCTGCTATCCAGAATACTGTGTGCATGTAACTGTCCCATCTTATGATGTTTTGGCTTCAATAAGAGTTGTTTTCCACCTGTAGTTAGATAATGTCGCTGTCAATTTTTGCCCATTTTCTTTTTTCTTTATTGAATGCAGTAACTCCCCTCAATGTACTCTGCACATTTTATGACTCTAGAACCAAGACAATGTATTCAAAATAGCTTCTGAAGTTTCATAATTATGGTAATTTTTTTTATTTCCTGAAAAGGTTATATTTAGGAGAAAATAGGTTTTCATCAGACAGCGACAATATACTGTATTTCTTGTCCAAGTCAGCCCAAACTCTCTATAGTAAACATGTGGGTTGGGGTCAATTCCATTTCAATTCCAGTAAATTCAGGAAGTACACTGAAATTGAAATTATTTTCAATGAGGAACATTTGGAATTGGAATTTGGTTTTCTTTTGACTGGAATTTAAATGGAATTGTCCCCAACCCTGCTTAGTGTAATACCCTACCACTTTGTAATGAGAAGTCTGGTTTCCCTTAGTGTCTTTCAGCAGCAGCATGAGTCTGGTATGCATGTCTAGCTTTGCCCTGACAGACTCAGTCCTCTCTGCAGTAGCAGGCTTGGGTTCAGTTATATTTAAATTCAGGACACATACTGTATAGTCAGCATGTTAATTGTAAGTCACTTTGGATAAACATGCCTGCTAAATGATTATATTACATCAATTGATCAATATTCCCCTCTCTTCCTTCTCTCGCTCTCTCTCTCTCTCTTTCTCTCTCTATCTAGAGCGTTCCTGTATGATCAGAAAAACAGGAAATGCCAGTGGCTGTCATTTGACAGGAACTACACAGGAGTCCATAGCCAACACAACTTCAACTACCAACTCTACCAGAAGAAAGGTACTGTACACTATCTCCCTGTCTCTCTCTCTTTCTGTCCTCCAGCCCTCTCCCCCCTTCTCTCTCTCCAGCAGTAGAAAGGCACTGCTTACAAGTGTCTAAAGTGTCTCTTTCTCCTTGTTCTCATCATAGTTTGGTACCCGGGTTAGTAGTGTTATGTATGTGTACAGTAAAATTTAACAGTATGGTGGATGTGAGACCCAAACTAACATGCTCTGTCAGATGAGTAAAACAGAAATGTTCTTACAAACACAGTCCTTTTTTTGTTGGCTGTCTTCTCTCTCTCTCCTCTCTCTCTCTCTCTCTCTCTCTCTCTCTCTCCTCTCTCTCATCTCTCTCTCTCCTCGTCTCTCATCTCTTCTTCTCCCGCCTCTCTGCATCTCTCTCTCTCCATCTCGCTCTCTCTCTCTCTCTCTTCTCTCCTGCTCTCTCTCCGCTCTCCTCCTCCCCTCTCTCCGTCACTCTCTCTCTCTCTCCAATCCTCTCTCTCTCTTCTCCCCCCCTCTGTCCCCTCTCTCTCTTGTTCTCTCTCTCTTTCTAGCCTATGTGCAGGAGTGCATAGTGGGGACAGGAGTGAACTACAGAGGGAGGAGGTCTGTAACAGCTAGTGGAATCAGGTGCCAAGCCTGGGCCTCTCCTATCCCTCATGAACACAAGTAAGCTAGAACCTGTGTTTGTGCATGTGGTGTGTGTGTGCGCCTGTGTGCGTGTGTGTATAGTGATACATTAGCTGGTGATTAGTCCTAAGGGACCAGTCATTCATCAGTTGTAGTCCTCTCTGACACTTTACACAGTCAGGGATCATTTCCTGTTGTAGGCTAACTACTTTTATGTAGGGTGTGTGTGTGTGGTGTGGCGCGTGCTTGCGTGCGTGTTCAAGAGAGTTTATCCTATAGAGAGAGAGAGAGAGAGAGATATAATGATAGAGAGAGATAGAGAGAGAGAGAAGAGACCCAGTTAGAGAGAGATCTAGAGAATACTAGAGAGAGATCAGAGACTATCTATCTCTCTCATCTCCTTCTAACCTCCTCTCTCTCTCTCCCTCTCTCTCTCTCTCTCCTCCTCTGCTCTCTCTCTCTCTCTCTCTCTTCCTTTTCTATATCTCCCCTCTCCCATCCCCCTTCTCTCTATCGATCCCCCATTCTAAGAGGACAACACACAGGGAGAGAGACACTCGTGCCAGAAGGTCATTAGAGTAGCACAACCATCCACCCCTTCCTCTTGTTCTCCTCCTCCTCGCCCTTCTCATCTTTTCTCCTCCAATTTTCACCTTTCTTCCCTGTGCCATCCCAAGGTATTAAATGACTTTGAAAGTATTTTTACTGAACCATCAGAGAGAGAGATGTTCTGTTAAGGCTTGGTATGTCAAGCAATTACAGCTAAACTGTGTGCATGTGTTCTTTATCAGTGAGTTTACACTGGGGCACATACACACACACACCTCCATCACACCGTTACCATATGTTGCATTATGTTGCCTAACTCTGTGCCTTCCGAACTGTTTTAGCTGTGACCCATATAAACCCTTCCAATTGATCACGTGACTCAGCAAACAAAACCTCAATTGAGTTGTTCCTCAGTCAATACGTAGATGTGTATGACTCAGTGTTGTAACACATGCCATGTTCTACGCTACACCATGGAGATTTCCCTTCTGCCTTTCAACTCTGCACCAAATAGAATGAGAATATGTTTGTGATTGAGTGAGATATTGATGAACACTAATTGAAGTCCTTCTCTCCCTCCAGTTTCCTACCGAGGAGGAACAGGAAGAAGGACCTGAGAAACAACTACTGTCGTAACCCTGACAACGCTATTTCAGGACCATGGTGCTTCACTACAGACCCCAACGTCAGACACCAGGACTGTGGAGTACCTGAGTGCTTACAGGGTAGGACACACGCATGCACATACACATACACACACACACATTGACCACTGTCAACAACTAGTGGCTCTAACATGGTGGATTCTCTCCCTCAATGCCCCTCATTGATGTCCACTTAACTGTGGCAAACTGCAGCCAAGTGGAATATCAGGTACGGTCTCAGTAATGTAGTAATTATCAACTGTTTGTGAATTGGCCTGAATTGCTGCATGCAGAAGTGTGTTTCAGTTTATGTTGTCGATTCTCATTTAATCTTTCCCTGGCTTTGTTAATTGTTTTAACCCAAAGGGACTCAGTTTGCTTTTTTGCTTTTCAGTCTATACATAATCCATGTTCCTAGTGGGGATTCTGACTAGTAGGTCAGTTAAATGGCTTTCTCAAAATAACTAATACAGAATGCCTCATTTAGGCATGGAGCAGTTTTCCCACCACAGCCGACGGGCTGCACCATTTATCTGTACTGTGATCCCTTCTCCCTGTGGCACTAGATCATGGCCTGTGGTATCTAGAACTGGATGACGCAAACTGTCACAGGAGAAATCACTGTTTCTCAGATAGTGTCTAGAGGACAAAGGTCCTCTGTGGATAATAACATGTATCTAGTTAATAAACAACTGACAGTGATGTGATAAGGGGTGTATGAAAATACACAGGACTACCAGAGATGTGTGTGGGAGGGAGGAATCCACAAGGTTGTTATAAGAGAAAAAAATAAAAATGACTGGAAAGGTTCATTTGAAAGAAAGTTTCCAGTAATGAGGAACACTGGGACATCACACACACACACGCACACACACATTCATATACACACATACTGGGAATAGTAGACTCATAAACATCTGTTTCTAATCTGATCTGCTCTGCTGTTTACATTGCTCCACACACACACACACACACACACACACACACACACACACACACACACACACACTGATTGTTGACTCATTTGACTTAAGGGGAGACATTTTACATTACCTTTTAAATAGTTGGGACAATTATCCAGAAACAATTGTGGTATTGCACCACATGCTGTTTATGTAGTATCTGCATAAATAATGTCCATGGCATGTTCAAATATCACCTGTGTGTGTGTGTGTGTGTGTGTCCAGTGGAGTGTGTGAGCTGTAACGGGGAAGGCTACAGAGGTCCCATGGATCACACAGAGACGGGACGGGAGTGTCAACGCTGGGACCTAGAGGAACCACACAAACACCTCTTCCACCCCAAGAGGTAACACTCACACACGCATCCATGCGCACATGCGCGCACACACTCAGTATGAGGTTGAATATGCATTACAGAAACACAGGGATGACTAAAGACGTGTTAACGAGTCTAACACTAATCCACACCACCTGCCGCTGGGGCAGGACACACACACACACACCCTTCAACTCTGTGATGAAGAGGTTCTCAGCACCTCTGAGGCTCTGTTAGTATACCTGGAGGAGGAATTAGATGCAAAACACCTGCAGTGACCAGTATACTCTGCCCATGTAGGCCCTATGGCCAACACACACATATTATAGATACACACACAAACGTATAAATGCGCTTGCACTGATGCAGACACACGCACGCACGCACACACACACACACACACCGGCATACCCATTTGCTCACTGCTCATATGTATCTACATCTGTCCCAATGACTTTTTGAAAACCTTCACTTCTGTTTGGGTTGTAGGTATCCTGATAAAGGCCTAGACGATAACTACTGTAGGAACCCAGATGGACGTCAACGACCGTGGTGTTTCACCCTGGATGCACACACATCCTGGGAGTACTGCAACATCACAGCCTGCCGTGAGTGTGTGTGGGTGTGTGTGCATTTGGAAAGTATTCAGACCCCTTGACTTTTTCCACATTTTGTTACGTTACAGCCTTATTCTAAAATGGATACAATTATTTATTTTTCTCGTCCATCTACACACAATACCCCATAATGACAAAGCGAAAACAGGTTTTTTTTAAAAAAATTTACAAATGTATTACAAATAAAAAACAGAAATACCTTATTTACGTAAGTATTCAGACCCTTTGCTATGAGACTCGAAATTGAGCTCAGGTGCATCCTGTTTCCAGTGATCATCCTTGAGATGTTTCTACAATTTGATTGGAGTCCACCTGTGGTTAATTCAATTGATTGGACATGATTTGGAAAGGCACACACCTATCTATCCCACAGTTGGCAGTGTATGTCAGAGCAAAAACCAAGCATGAGGTTGAAGGAATTATCCATAGAGCTCCGAGACAGGATTGTGTCGAGGCACAGATCTGGGGAAGGGTACCAAAACATTTCTGCAGCATTGAAGGTCCCCAAGAACACAGTGGCCTCCATCATTCTTAAATGGAAGAAGTTTGGAACCACCAAGACTCTTCGTAGAGCTGGCCGCCCGGCCAAACTGAGCAATCAGGGTAGAACGGCCTTGGTCAGTGAGGTGACCAAGAACCTGATGGTCACTCTGACAGAGCTCCAGAGTTTCTCTGTGGAGATGGGAGAACCTTCCAGAAGGACAACCATCTCTGCACCACTCCACCAATCAGGCCTTTTTGATAGAGGCACTCCTCAGTAAAAGGCACATGACAGCCTGCTTGGAGTTTGCCAAAAGGCTCCTAAAGGACTCTCAGACCATGAGAAACAAGATTCACTGGTCTGATGAAACCAAGATTTAACTTTTTGGCCTGAATTTTTTATTTGTTTTTATTTAACCTTTATTTAAGTAGGCAAGTCAGTTAAGAACAAATTATTATTTACAATGACGGCCTACAACAGCCAAACCCGGACGACGCTGGGCCAATTGTGCGCCAAACGTCACGTCTGTAGGAAACCTGGCACCATCCCTATGGTGAAGCATGGTGGTGGCAGCATCATACTGTGGGAATGTTTTTCAGCGGCAAGGTCTAGGAGACTAGTCAGGATTGAGGGCAAGATGAACGGAGCCAAGTACAGAGAGATCCTTGATAAAACCTGCTCCAGAGTGCTCAGGACCTCAGACTGGGGCGAAGGTTCACCTTTCAACAGGACAACGTCCCTAAGCACACAGCCAAGACAATGCAGGAGTGGCTTCTGGACAAGTCTCTGAATGTCCTTGAGTGGCCTAGCCAGAGCCCAGACTTGAACCCGATCGAACATCTCTGGAGAGACCTGAAAATAGCTGTGCAGCAACACGCCCCATCCAACCTGACAGAGCTTGAGTGGATCTGCAGAGAAGAATGGGAGAAACTCCCCAAATACAGGTGTGCCAAGCTTGTAGCGTCATACCCAAGAAGACTCACGGCTGTAATCGCTGCCAAAGGTGCTTCAACAAAGTACTGAGTAAAGGGTCTTAATACTTATGTAAATGTTATATTTAATTTTTTAATTTTTAATAAATTTGCAAAAATGTCTAAAAACCAGTTTTTGCTTTGTCATTCAAGGATATTGTGTGTAGATTGATGAGGATTATTTTTTTAAAAATCCATTTTAGAATAAGGCCATGTGTCCATGTGTCCATGTAAATACCCAGTTTTTTTGTGATTTTTTTATTTTACGTATATATTTCCCTATTGTCACGCCCTGGCTCTGGGGACTCTAGTATGTTGAGCCAGGGTGTGAGTTTTCATTTGTGTTTGTTCTAGTTGTTGTATTTCTATGTTGGCCAGGGTGGCTCCCAATCAGAGACGGCTGTAGCTCGTTGTCTCTGATTGGGAGCCATACTTAAGTAGCCGTTAGGCATTCATTTGGTGTGGTTTCTTGTTCCGTGTTGGTTGTGAATTAACCAGGGACGTCACGTTTTCGTTTTGTTGTTTTGTTCGTGTGATCATTCAAATTAAATAAATTTGTTCGCATTCCACGCTGCGCCTTGGTCCTCCTCTGTTCCCGACGATCGTGACAGAAGAAACCACCAAGACTGGACCAAGCAGCGTGTCCAGGAGCAATCGCCAGGGAGATCTCTAGCAGATCTCCTTCGCCTCCTCGACTGGGTCAAGCCGGGTGAGGAAGAGAAGGGCCGGACTTGGAAGCAGAAGGGCGAAAGTCTGGCGAGGGACATGGAGATCTGGTCCACGGGTAGGAGAGACGCCCAGAAAATTTTTAGGGGGGGGCTCACGCCGTGGACGACGGGGCAGCAGGGGGCCGCGATGGAGCGGTTAGTAGAGGAGGCCGCCAGGTTACGGGGGCCACTGGTCACAAAAGGGGAGGAAAGTGTAGAGGCACGGCGAGAGGTACTGGGGTGTGTTACCAGTCCGGTCCGGCCCGTTCCTGATCCCCGCGTAGGGCCAGTGGTGTGTGTCCCCAGTACGGTCCGGCCTGTTCCTGTCCCTCGCACCGAGCCTGTGGTGTGCGTCGCCAGCCCGGTTCGGCCTGTTCCTGCTCCCCGCACCAAGCCAATGGTGCGCGTCGCCAGCCCGGCCCGGCCTGTTCCTGCTCCCCGCACCAAGCCAATGGTGCGCGTCGCCAGCCCGGCCCGGCCTGTTCCTGCTCCCCGCACCAAGCCAATGGTGCGCTTCGTCAGCCCAGCTCGGCCCGCTCCTGCTCCCTGCACCAAGTCAGTGGTGCGTTTCGTCAGCCCAGCTCGGCCCGCTCCTGCTCCCCGCACCAAGTCAGTGGTGCGCTTCGTCAGCCCAGCTCGGCCCGCTCCTGCTCCCCGCACCAAGTCAGTGGTGCGTTTCGTCAGCCCAGCTCGGCCCGCTCCTGCTCCCCGCACCAAGTCAGTGGTGCGCTTCGTCAGCCCGGCTCGGCCCGTTCCTGCTCCCCGCACCAAGTCAGTGGTGCGCTTCGTCAGCCCGGTCCGGCCCGCTCCTGCTCCCCGCACCAAGTCAGGGGTGCGTTTCGTCAGCCCGGCTCGGCCCGTTCCTGCTCCCCGCACCAAGTCAGTGGTGCGCTTCGTCAGCCCGGTCCGGCCCGCTCCTGCTCCCCGCACCAAGTCAGGGGTGCGTTTCGTCAGTCCGGCACAGCCCGTGCCTGTTCCACCGGTGCCTGGTTCAGCACGGGTCAGCTGCTTCACGCCGGAGCTAGAGCAATCCGCTCCACCAGTGTGCAGTCCAGCTCCGGTCAGCAGGGCCAGACCGGACCAGGGGTACTTTGGGGGGTTAGAGAGGGAGTGGGGATCATGCCCGGAGCCGGATCCGCCGCCAAGGCGGAGTGCCCACCCGGTCCCTCCCCTGTGGTATTTGGTTGGCGCGGTCGGAGTGCGCGCCTTTAGGGGGGGGTACTGTCACGCCCTGGCTCTGGGGACTCTAGTATGTTGAGCCAGGGTGTGAGTTTTCATTTGTGTTTGTTCTAGTTGTTGTATTTCTATGTTGGCCAGGGTGGCTCCCAATCAGAGACGGCTGTAGCTCGTTGTCTCTGATTGGGAGCCATACTTAAGTAGCCGTTAGGCATTCATTTGTTGTGGTTTCTTGTTCCGTGTTGGTTGTGAATTAACCAGGGACGTCACGTTTTCGTTTTGTTGTTTTGTTCGTGTGATCATTCAAATTAAATAAATATGTTCGCATTCCACGCTGCGCCTTGGTCCTCCTCTGTTCCCGACGATCGTGACACCTATCACACTTTTCATCCTTCTAAATATACTTTTCTGCAACCCACCTCACTCAATGTAGAACGGATTCTATTATTTACTCACCTTTATCTAGAATCTCCAGTTGAAACTAGCCAGCCAGCTAACTAGCTAACTAGTTACTTGTTATTAGCCACCGTTAGCGGTTTTCACCCAGAACATCGGATTTTCTGCCGAAATAACTGAATCACTGGACCTTAACACCGGATCGCAACTAGCTAGCCGCAATTGAATGGATGTCGAATGGATGTTGCTGTAGGCGAATCACCACTGCCCCCGAAGCAAGAATCAGTTAGCCTTGAGCTAGCCTCGAGCAGGCCCATATCCCGGCTATCTACCTCTCTGTCTACCGGACGGGAGTAGCCAGCTAACCAGCTAACTAGCTACTTGCTATTAGCCACCATTAGCGGTATTTCACCATTGTCCTTGGCCTGCACTACATACCAGCCAGCTCTAGCCTGGACTATTATCGGCCAGTCTGCACTGTCTGCTCAGCCCGTTATCGACCCAGAACCTATCGGATTTTCTGCCGGAATCACTGAATCACTGGACCTTTAACACTGGATAATCGCAACTAGCTAGCTGCAACCAAATGAACGTTGTTGTTGGCTAATCAGCCTTGAGCTAGCCTTGAGTCAGGCACATCTCCCGGCTATCTACCTCTCTGTCAACCGGACGGGACCTCC